AAATAATATACCCAACACTAGTAGTGACATGTTGTGCTCTTTTTTTAATATGGACCCATACTCTGGAATAAAATTCATTCAATTAAAAGCAGACATATTACAGTTGTTAGTACTTGTGCCACACTTCACTAGCATTATTTTTCCAGTAGGGGTCAGTGTTGTTCTTATTTAACAGTGCTTTGTCTCCTACACACACTGGGTCTGCCCCAGGTTTACTTACTCTAGTCCTACCCAATTAGATGGCAAACTTTCCCCAAGTACCCAAAAAAGTCACTTTGTTCACAGACTGCACAAGGAGAGAAGAACTTTTGTCACACTAATTAATATTGGTGTTCTTTTATGTCACTTAATATTGGTTACAATAGATGTTGCTATCTCATAATTCTCATTATTCATTGTGTCAGATGCAATTTCTGACATAATTTTATTACTTGACTTTCACATCCTGCTTTTCTAAGGCTGCGTTCAAGGTCTTCATCCGGCAAAAAGGTTGGGCCAGATTCAACTTTTGCAATGCAACATCTGGCGAGGCGCTGTGTTGGCCAATCAAATACATGCAAGCATACATTCCTGGTGGATTACTTTGTACCATGACCACTAGATTTCTGCTGTTTACCTTGCAATTGTTGAGATGACAGATAAAATAGATGCCGCTTTGATAACTTTTCAGAGCTGTAAAATCCCATCTGTGACTGTTACAAAGCTTTCTGGCGCCTTTTCATCTGATAAGCCATTAAACGCAATCTGTTATTCAAAGAAGACTTCCTGAGTTTAATTTCATGTCTCTCTAGTACCTTAAACAACAAGGCCCCACCAACACAGCCAACTGTGCTGTTTTCAGTCTGAATCCCCATTAAGACAATGTGTCTCTCTCTCTCCCTTTTGTTTTGTTCACCTATGCTGTCTGGGACGACATCCAGCAGGTTCTGTGTGAGCAGCAGGTCAGTGAGAGCCAGGAGGCCATTTAGCTCTGAGGGAAGCTCCTCCAGACGATTCTCTGACACATCCAGACACACCAGTCTCCGGAGGTTCCCCAGCTCCTACACAAACACAAAATAAATACCACTTGCAGTGAGCCGCAGAGGCACAATACAACCATTACCTTCACAGCATAAACGAGGGGTATAAATCTGCTAGTGGGAGTTAATTCTGCATATGTGTAATGTTATTTTGTTCAAATTAAGTTCTTGCAACAAGGCAGCTTTTAAAAACATTTGTATTAAAGTGTACTTACTGGTGGTAATGAGGACAACTGGTTACGGTCCAGCCATAGCTCCCTCAGGTTGGGGAGAGCACCAAGGGTGTCCGGCTAAGAGTCAGATAGAAGTAGAGAGGAGAGGAGGGACCACATTGGGGACAGTTGGGTATTAGAAAAAGCAGGTTGATTATATTTGTTAATAACTGTGCAAAGCCAGGGACTGCCAGCACTAATCAGGATATGCAACAGTGAGTGAAAATCAGCTTTTCACCCTGGATTCAAAATTCTAGTATGACTTTTGCAAGATGACTGTGCAGTTAAATCGATTTATCTGATTTTCTATCGGTCAATAACTTAAAGAAACAGGATCTTTCATTACAACGCTTCTCTTTTGTGATCTGTTATTCCTCATACTTGAGCTGAAGCTGCCAAATCCATTCAGTAAATATGTATTTGTTTTCAATCCTGGGCTCAATGGGCTAAAGTCTCCCAAAATCAAAACAAATTCAAGTCTAAGTGATAAATGAAATTAAGGAGGATGTCAGTAAAGCTGTGGTTTATGACAGACAGGCAGGCAGGCAGGCAAGGTTTCATGTCAACTATTTGCTCAGCCTCCGCCCTTGTCAGGTTATGAGGTATTGTTTACCCTGTCTTATTGAGACAGGTGGGCGTTCCCAGGTTTAAAACAGCATTCACTGTGGGGTACAATACATGCATGGCCTCAGGTCTGACAGACCGGCTCTGCTGTGTGTGGTGAGGTAAATGTGTGGTTTAGATCATAATTATTGTGGTGGGAATGTGAGAAGAATATTTGACAATACGTGTCACTCTGCGTGTCTGTCAAAGTTATTTTAAGGCACAACTGAGGGTGTTTGCTTGAGCACCTGGCAGTGGGATGAATCATCTACTGTATAGTGTATATTATGGTTAAGGGGGATGAGTTGTTGACTTACCAAAACTTCCAGTTCATTGCTGCCCAGGTCCAGCTGTTCCAGTTTCACCAGGAAAGAGAGCGACCTGAATACGTACACAAAATTGCACATGCAGTAAGTCACACAAATATGCGCCCTGAAAGACCAAAGAGCAGAGCTTTGCCAACAATTACAACATACCATTCATTCATATGTACTGACATATGCAAAGAATGTTTTTAAACCCACGTTTATAAGTGAGAGAGGTTCTAACTAAAGCTCGTGGTGATTATAGTGCTGATGAAGTCAAAGTAAAGGTGAAACAGCGGTGACAATTCCTCCTGCACTGTGGGATCATTTATCTTATCTTGCATTGTCAGCAGGCACAATACAGAGAGATGGTGGGGAATTAAAGACCGGGCCCTGATGCATATGTGCGCTGGAGGGAGATGACACTTACGTGGGCAGAGACTTCAGCAGGTTCTCCCTGAGCTCCAGCGTCACTAGGTTGGCCAGGCTACAAAAGGAGGCAAGTAAAAGAGAGAGAGGGGTAGGAGTTGGCAGGCGGCGAGAAGACGAGAAGAGAGGATGAGGGAGAAAGAGAGGGGAGAGGGGAGAAGCAGGTTGGTTAGTCAGATGGCAGGTCTGTTCGTCTGGGCTGCTTGGCATGGTGAGGGGCTCTTCCATCTGTCTGAGCACAGCAGTGGCCCAGAGCCCAAAAACCGGCAGCCTCAGAGCCCACTGGGCGACAGAATTACTTCAAACCTGCTCGGGCTCCTAATATATCAAGGATCTAATTCAGTAAAATGCTTGAGTAGAGAGCTTTTATAATTTTGACAAAAATTATAATCTTGCAATTAGGGCTCCAACAAACGATTTCTTCAGATCATCAGAAACGTTTGTTTGCCTTTCACAATTTCCCAGAGCCAAAATAATCTTTTAAAATTGTTCTTTTGTCTCACCGACAGTTAAAAATCCAGAAGATATTAAATATAAAATGATATAAAGCAGAAAATCCTCTCATTTTAAAACCTAGAACTAGAGAATGTTTAGTATTTTTGCTGTGATTAAGTGTGACTGATTAAAAGTGATACATCAAAAATGTTACTGAATCATTTCAGCTCAACTCACGATTATTAGTGATAATTTATTCTACATTATTTGGGAGCAGAGTTTATGTGATAACTACAACCAAGTTTATGGGTTCTGTACCATAAATAAGACATTTTCAATCACTTATGAAGACATGGCCGCAGTTTCCTTAAATATCCAAGATATAAAAACACATTTTACACCATCAAATTATGATGATTGACTATGAGCCTTTGTGCATGTGTACATACTTTCCAATGTCGTTGGGCAACGTCTGCAATGACACGTCGTTGAGTGCCAAGTGGGCCAGTGCTCGTAGTTGAGTGAAGCCATCTGGTAATCTGCAGCAGAAAGATAGGAGGGAAATAGTGGAGAGACTCTTGTACAATGCATGTACAATGCATGAGATCACACTCACACACACACACACACACACGACGATCGGCCCATCTGTTAAAGCATTCAGCATCAAAGCTCTTGCCAGTTTTTCCATTGCTTTTCTATAGGAGGAAGTTAAAAGGTGAAATATAAAGTTAGACATCACTGATTGGGGAATTAGAAATGTTCTACTTCAGACAGCAGTGCATATATAAAGGGATATATAGAGATCAACTGGTATCCAGGTTAGGTTAACGTGACACTTTTCACTGCCTTGTTTGATCAGACAGCACATTGTCACACAAAGTGTGATCTCCTCCTCCATGTGTTCATGTACTGTGCACAAGTATTTCTTAATAACTAAATAATTCCAAGAACTGCAGCTACAATTTAGTATTAAGTGCACACTGTAAAACAGATATATGTGCAATATGATTCACAGCACATTTGAAACAGGCCAGAAAAGTGATTAAGAGCACACAAATGACAAAGCTGCTTCTCTCGCCCTTGTTGCACTTGGCCAGACATCATATTTTCTCACAGTGATGTGGAATAGAGTGATGGCCTGTTCCCATTCACTTACCTGGATAGGGGGTTTCCACTGAAGTCTGCGATCTCCAAGGCCCTGCAAAATTTAATGCTCTCGGGGATCTCAGGAATGTCTGCAGGAGAAGAGGAGGAGGTGGGGGGAGAAGAGAGAGAGACAGGAGTCAGCACCATGGACACACAGATGTAGAGTGCAGGGGAGGGTGTGGGGGTCTTATTCTATGGAGCAAATCATTTTAAGTTCCTTGTAATAACATCCAGATGGCTGGGAGCGGGCAAATGAGAGAAATAGAAGAAATGAGACACAAAGAGATGGAAGTTGTACCAGGGAGGATTTGGTCAACGTGTACTATTACATCTTTATTTTAAGTAAAATGTAAAGAACAATAATACATTTATTGCTATGTGCTTCCATCTAAGTCATAACTAAGATCATTGGACCCCTGTCTCTGTATATGAAAGCATTTGAGCTGTTTCTTTAGTACTCAGTCTTAACAGAGTGGTGTTCCCATGTGTGCTAAAATGCAAAAAATGAAGGGAGACACATTTCAAACTATGCAGACTGGACTCAAAAGTAGTCTGTGTGACAAGAGGGATATTGTACTGCAAAGCAAACAAACATATTGCCTGTAGCATAAAAGCAATGATTCACTGTGGTGTCAAATAACAAACAGCTTAAAATGCTAAAGACACAAAGTCAGCTTAACCTTACGCCTGGTGTAGATATACAGCATAAGGCACAAGAAGAAAAGCAACCTACTGACCTGACCAGGTAAATAACTTAAATAACAAGGTAAATAACCACCACTGGATCCTGCAGGTGCAGGTTAAGAAATCCCTGCTGAGCCAAGCAGCCTGTGAGGCTTATCTGGCTCCGCACTGTGCTGCAGCAGGAGCAGACAGGCAGACAGATGGGAAAGACCCTTACAGGCCACTGCACACTGTTCCTACAGCACTTGATGCAGTGTGTAGCAGAGCAGAGGTCTAATATCTGCCATATAGGCCCTTCTGGCCGCGGAGTATCAGTGAACAGCGCGCAAGGACACAGAGAGGGCAAGATATTTGTGTGTGTGTGTTAGAGCTGATGAGCTGCAGATATTTCATCCCAACTGAAAAGTCTCTCTCTCCTTTATGGAATATTACCTTTGCTTACATTGTGGTGCTGAGTTTCTTTCTTTTCTCGTCTTATAGGGATTTTCCAAGGGAACAGAAGTGAGTGTATGAATGTCTGCTGTGCCTGGGGGTAGACTGTACAAACTGGCAAAGAGGGCCAGCTAATATTTATCTAAAGGCTGCTGCTAGTATGTTTATTCTCACACCGATTTGGCTTTGCCCCCACTGCTTAAGACCACATGTTTACAGACATAGTTGTTGTTTTGTGTTGTTTTGTGTTGTTGGGGGTGGTCTAGACAAGAGCGGAAGGTTATGTTAAACGCCTCATTGAAGTAATTGTGTGTTAATGGGTGGTCTAACAAGCAGAGCAACTTGTGTGTGTGCGTTTCGTGTACCGTTTCTGGAGATGTCCAGTTCCACCAGCTGCATGAAGTTAGCCACCTCAGGAGGGAGTCTCTGGATCTCATTGTCACTCAGGCCGAGCTTCCGGAGGTTCAGTAGTCTGAAGAAAGGCTGTGGAGACACAAGATAATGTGTTAAACAAAACAGAACCTCAAATACTTTCTCTTCACTCATGAGACTGTGGGGCATGTTCAACAATCAAATCTATAAACCATAAACAGAAGTGATGTTATCTGATTTACTGCAAATTCCCAGAGCCCAAAGTGTTTCAAAACAAAGACAAGACAAAGGCAGCAGATCTTCACATTTTTGTTTGAAAAATGACTAAAAGGATAAATCGATAATCAGAAATTAGTCTATCGATTCAATCAACTGAATATTGTTTCAAATGTTGCAGACGTTTCTCGCTGCTTTAACCGCAACCACACACAAAAAAACATCCTGTCTATTCAAATGAGGGCCCTCGAGAACCAGTTTAAAAACATTCCTTCGTCATATTCCCGAAAACTCCTCCTCGTCATGGCAACGGCAGCCAAACAAAGTGGCTTTCGATAGCGTGGCCGAGGAGAGTGCCAAGTGCTTTCACAAGAGCCTGGTTGTTGGACGGCACGGCGTTCAGAAACATTCTTCCGCCGGCCGCGTTTGTGTGCGTTTCTGTGTGTCATCTGCTGTTAAGATGGACGGACAAGACGAGCTGGCGGGGAAAAGCAAGAGTCACGGGCCAAAAGTATGCAGTTATTAACCCCTCAATCAGCCCCTGGTTCTGCAGCCCACAGAGGAGCCACTGTCTGCTCTGTCCAAAGCCAGTCCACTCCTCGGAGTACGGGAGGAAGACTCTTGAGAAACTTGCCGACTTGGGCTTTCTTGAGTAGGAATTTGTATAAACTCATTATTCAGGGATGCTTTCTGAACATAGAGCGCACAGACGTCTGGAAGCTTGGAGCCTAAACCTTAATTCAAATTAAACCTCAGGCTGTCAGCAAGGCCCGCTGCTGAAAACAAGCCTCGTGTGTCGATTACCAGAGATTAATACACTAGACGATTTCAAAATTCTTGCTCCTCCGTGCCAACTTACGCTTTCAAACAAACGCAGCGCTGTTACACTCCTGTTTCCTGTTGCATAAACGCGTTGTAAATCAGATAACAGAAAAACCTTCTTTGATCTGTATCGTCATGTTTCTGCCTGACTTAAGTGTGAGTGCACACACACACACACACACACACACTCTACACACACTCTACAGCTCTACAATTACGCTGCCAGACAGAAGAATGCTGCAGTTCAACTCGACTTTTGTTCCTCGACGACAGACATTTCCTGCTTTTAACTAGTTATGTGTATTGTGTTTGGATGGGGAGGTGGCTACAGCAACACGTTTTTTTTTCTTCCCCAGAATCAGCTCATGGTTTGCTGGCAGTGCGAGACAGAGCTTGTCAGTACTTTCCCAAAATTTCCCAACATTTGCATGGTAGTTCATACTAGCGTCCACACCTGATGGAGAGTGAAACCAGGGGGAGGGGAAGGGAGGACAGGAAAGAACGGAGCCAGAGAGAGACAAAGAGGGTGTTGGCTCCCTGAGTAGCAGGTGACAGGTATCAGATGACAGGAATAGGAAACAGGAGCTGTGGGCGACCACGTGACCAAGCCCAGATGGGAACCGGCCCCCAGGAGGGCAGACAACCCCGGCTGGCAGAACAGGTGGCGCTCGCAGACCGAACGTCTCTCAGGGAAACAGCGAGTTGAAAAACACACACCTGAAGACTCGTGCTGCAGATACAAGAACACACTTCAAAACAGTATTATGTTAAATGCCAACACAAGTTTTTCTTCCCACGGCGAGGCAGGACGCTCATACCGAAGTATGCAACGCCATTTCACTGCTAATGGACAGTTCTTCCTTCCAGGCTAAACCAATCACCTAATAAAAGCTTTTGCATCAGTGCATTCTTCGGGATGTCGTCCAGAGCTCGATCAGTGATGAGGAGAAAGCTGGACGGTAATGCAATCATGTCTGTGAACAAGTAGTTATGAACACTCACAAAGATGGCCATTCACTCCGTCTGTGAGTGGCCGCTCGCAGACAGACCCGCCGCTGTTTCCCCGAGCAAACAACAGTGATGCTGTGCAGCTTTACGTCTCCAATCAAATACTGACATTTTCTATGAGAGGGACATGTATTAAATCTGTTCTCTGATGTGTCCAGTTACTTTTAGAGCAGTCAATAACTGATTTTATCAATGAAAACTGGATTTGAGTTTCCCACCGACTGGTGTACGTTCAAATTAAACAATGGAGAACCAGCAGCGTTACACGGGTCAATGGGTCAACTGGAATAACAAATGGGAGCAGTGGGATTTAGTGTACCGCCACTGTCTCTTCATTGTATTAGTGAACCGCAGCAGTCTGCTCAGTCACTCAGCTTTTACAGGACTCTGCTCGTGTGCGTGTGTAACCAGTGAGGACACACGTTGGTGAGACCCAGTGTGCTGCGTTTCCTTTATAACTGTGCAACTGGGATGTTTTAATGAGCGCCCTTGTGAGAGTTGTTTGCTTAAGGAAGGGAGTGAAGCTGTAAACAGGGAGGATTTAGTACAGTGGAGCAGAGAGGAGTGAGAGTGGAGGAGGGGAAATGATAACCGTGTCAGCAGAGGGCAGTGTGGGGTCTCGAGAGCAGTTATAGAGACATACCAGTAAGCACAACCCATTTGCAAACCACCATCAGATTATTACCCTTGCTAAGGAGGATATGTTTATAGTGCTGTTTTTGTTTGTCTGTCAGCAGGATTATGGAAAAAATACTGGTTCGTTTTACATATATATACACGAGCTACCCCCCTTTAAGTTTTAGGAGTTACAGTCTATATTTTATTTTATTCTTTTCTTAGTTTTATATTTACACTTATATTGTTTACCTTGTGTGTTCTGTGCAATCACTGCTGTTTTACTGTAGTAGTATTTTGTTACAAAGAAGCATTTCACTGTGCATGTGACGAATAAAAAATCTCTCATCTTATCTTACATGAAACTTGGTGGAATAGTGTAGCATGGGTCAAGGAAGAACCTGTTAAATTGGATGTAGACGTATACAGGAGTTGTGCTTGTAGATTTGAATGTCATAGAAGACTGGGCTGGTCTGTGTCTCTATTTATGTGCTGCTTTTGTTGATGCCAATTTTAAGAACACCTTTGGCAACTAAAACATCAATATTTTATGTGCGAACGCGAGTAAAAAGGTTGAGTCACGCCTGCAGCCATGTTCCCTCTTAAACTGTTCTGAACTGCATAAAAGAAAAGTATTAGGTAACTTTAATGGTGGTTAAGACAGCTGTGAGAGCAGACACAGCTGCACAGATTCTGCTGGACTATGATAAGGTTTCACACAGGGAGGATTGGGTATGTGAAACATCCACAATGTGCCCAACTTAAGCTAGTGTGAAATGGGTTCTGTGGTGCAGGTACTTTATTTGAGATATCCCTCATTATTATACAGTGAATGAAGCTCCCGTCACCCACGAGCAACCTTTGACAGAGAGCAGCGTGCGTGGAGCATGGTAAAATGCTCTGCTGCTTATCGGCATCGCCCCGTTTACATTATATTCCACTCAAGTGTGTGTTAATGTGCCTCGGGATGTGTGTTTGTATATGTGTGTGTGCTGAAACTCGCAGGAGAGAAGGCCCAGTGCTGTAGGTCTTTACGTCAGTTTAGTCTTAGTTTTACTTTGCTTTAAGGCTGCTCAGTTAATCGAAATTTGATCATGATTACGATTTTGGGGCCAAACGATCTCAAAACTAATAAAATCGGGGGGAAACGAT